ACGCTTTTCAGCCCACAGTGTAATCAACGTCATACATACATACATACATACATACATACATACATACATACATACATACATACATACATACATACATACATACATACATACATACATACATACATACATACATACATACATACATACATACATACATACATACATACATACATACATACATACATACATACATACATACATACATACATACATACACGCGCACTTGTGTCCTAAACTTTGCATGTATTTCCTCTCCCAACCCCCAACTCCCAACACAACACACAAACACACGCACGCGCGTGCAGGAGGTGTTGCTGCAGCGCAATGACGTGGAGGCCTTCCTGCTGTCCAGTCTTCATGCGGTGCGCCGGAAATCGAGTGAGAAAGCCTCTTCCCCCGACAAGACAACCACCAACACCACCACCAGCAGCAGCAGCACCAATACCAACAACAACAACAACAATCACAGCAGCACCAGCAACAACCGTCGGCTTCACATGTGGACGCGCCAGGTGGCGGTGCCGGTGGTGGCCATGTGGGCTCAGACTTCCGAGATCTTCCCTGGGAGGACAGGGAGCGGGTGCTGCGGCTGTTATTTGTCAAGATCAACAACCAGGCTCAGCAGGTGCACTTCACGGTGCTGCCGCCACACCCGCTGGTGGCGGCCGGTGGCGGTGGCGGCGGCGGCGGCACGGAGATGCTGATGATGGCGGCTTTTTTGGGACGAGATGTACTTAGGCTTTATTCGCGAAGTACGACCGGACACATTTGTGCGAAGGGGCTGCTTAAAAAACTGAAGCCCACTGTAACAACCACACAAGACAAAAAAGACAGCTATAGACAGCTACCGTTGGCGGTACACGTCAACGGGCAAATGGCAAAACCGTACAATGCCCACGTCACAAAGGAATGTCGTAATACGATATTTTACGTGAAGTTTATGCGTTTTTTCGCTCCAATGTAATTGGATCTTTTCTATCTAGGCCAGGAAATTTTAAGACAAAGCTGCGTCCTGGCCTCGCAATCCACAATGAGAAAGATGGGGTTTTGAGAACCTACGTTGCAGTCTAGGAAGGACAGGTAGGAGAGCGCCTGAGCAGGTTGCAGCTCAGGCGAACAACTCCCTCCCAACCACCTAACCACGGCATTGGACATCGGCCGCTCTATCTGCCTTTCCTCGCACATAACTAACTCCACCTCGTGACACTCCTTGCAGGAAAGACTTCTCCTCGCAAAGAGGAGAAGAGCGCTCTCTCTCTCTCTCACACACACACACACCTCCACCGCCCCTCTAACCGTCGAAGCAACCTTGCCCTACGGAAAGGGCGTTTCCTAAATAGGCCATTACGCGGCCATTCTTGCGCCCAAAGGATATTTTATCGCGGGAGCAAAATCTTCACCTCACCTCAGTCGGTGGTGAAGTGGTGAAATCGCGAGTGATGAGACCCAAGCACTCGCTCACTCACGCACACGCATCATCCCGACAGCGGCAAGTACAGTGCTGCACTGCAGTTCAAGTGGCGGGCCCTACCTGGAGGGTTTTAGGTTTTCCAGACGCTCGACGATCATCATCATCATCGTCATCAACATCATCATCAGCTCTTTGGCAAGGAAGCTGGCCCCCTCGCTGCCACCCGCCGCACCGCCATCATCATCTCAACATCCCCTCCAGCGCCACCTCTGCCACCGCATCTCCCACCATAACCCCCCAACGCGGGAGAACGACTATCCCCACCACCACCACCAGCATGACCGTCTCCACCATTACGAACGTCGCCAACGCCGGCAAGCAGCCGCGTCCTAGCAACTGCATCCTCCCCACCCTCCTCCCCACCCTCCTCCAGGCCTCTCCTAACACTTCGCCTGTCCACCTCATCGCCCCGAGACGCCCCCAAAGCGTCCGTGCTCCAAACGTGCACAACACTCCGAATCAGGGGTGCACCGTCACTCTCCTCCCCCTCCCCCTCCTCGTCCTTCTTTAGGGCAGCTGCAGACATCTTTGGTGAATCGTCCTCCGCCAAACCCCTGACGAGTGTTTCGGCTGGCACCTTGGTTCCGGAGCTTTGACTGGCGCTTGTGCTGCTGGTGCTGCTGGTGTTGGTACGGATGTTGGGGTCCAGTTTGTCATTGGCTAGGTGGCCAGCTGCGCCTTTCCGTACTCCATGCGTGCCGTCAAAATACGTCACCAGAGCAAACCCCCCAATCATGAGCAGCAGGCCCACGATTCGCGCCCAGTGGAGGGGCCGTCGCCTGGCGGCCACGTGAGAAAGTTGTACGGAAGTTGTACGGAAGCGTACGGAACGCAAGCACAGGCAACCTCGGGGTTGAGGAAACGCAGGTTTTGATTTCATATCGCATTTCACTTCACTTCATTTGCCTCCATTTGTATCGCGCATTCTATTCTACACACGAGAGTATGATCTGACGACGGCGTCGCGCCACGTGCTCGCCATGTATGTGTGGTGTATGGTGTGTGGACTCGTGCGGATTTCAAGCAGGCGAATCTGCTCCCACCAAGAACAGCCCCTGAATGACAAGACGCCCCAGGGGGCCCCAGACCTTCCCCCACACAGCCCCCGGATTCCCCCAAGCACTCCACAACTGGTGCCCTCTGTACTCACCTCCCCGTCGTGATGCTCCTGTTCTAATAATCTACTCACCTACTCCCAAGCCTCAGCCAAACCAGCCCGGCTCATCCCCTCTACCTCCCCCCCCCTTTCCTCGGACCTCTTGGGCACCGGCAGCAGCAGTCCACTTCCCACTTTCTCACATACGGTTACCCCCATTCCCCCCCACTCCCCCCACTGCGAAACCGCATGTTACCTGAAGCCCACCCAGCCAAGTGCGTCGAGTGTCACGGCCGTGCTGAGCTGGGCCGTCACGAAGATGGCCATCAGGGCGGCTGCCCCCAGCGTTCGCGCGAATATGATCACTACCGCCACTTACCAGGCGCCCATCAAGCCGCCCGTCCAGGCCCACCAAGGGGCAGCTACAACAGCAGCAGCAGCAATAGCAGTAACAGGAGAAGATCAGCAGAAGTAGAAGTTCGGCGAGGAATCGGATTTTTTAGACGGCGTGGCTGGGTTTCAGTTCGGAGAGGTGCGAGGGCGCAGATGGTTTCGGGGCGCGTTTGTGAGGCGGAAAGAAAGGTTCTGAGCGATGGATTTTCAGAGACGTTGCGGATTGATTGGTGTTTGGTGTTTGGGGTGCTTTCTGAAACTGAGAGGTCCGATGTCGCCATGGCACTTGCGAATTTCGTTCTTGTGCGGACGCGGTTGGGGTTGGGCTTATTAAGCAGCCCCTCGCACAAATGTGACCGGTCGTACTCTGCCGAATAAACGGGACGTACATCGTCCAAAAAAGCCAGGAGCGAATTTTGCCGCGCGGATGCGCGCTTTCGATTCGCAAAATGCGCATGCGTAAGTGTATATAAATTTTCGTGGAGAAAGGACGAGGTGCGCCAGCGCGTTGCGCAGGTGGGCATGTTGGCCACAGCCGCACGCGGCATGCAGGCTGGACTATTGCGTGGCTGCTTTGCAGTAACTGAAAGCACCGAAAGCCTACGTCGTAGCTTGCAAGACTGGGCTCGTGAAACTGCCGCGGGAAGAGGAAGCGTCTGGCGAAGAGGCAGTTGTGTGCAAGCAAACGGTCGCGTTTTTGGTAGTGCAACGTATACAGCACCTTGTTCAGAGTAAAGTCAAATTACAAAGTTGCGCAAAGTATAACATACATAAACTTAATTAAACATAAGAACAGATAAGACGTTTAGAGCCTTGTCGGTGACATGGACGCCGCTGTTGGCTTAGAACAGCTATTTGCTGTGCATAGGGACGTGCCCGCGTTAGCCGTGTTGCAACAGCTCAGGATGGATTTCAGCCAGCAACAGCCTCAAGAGCTGCTGCACAACCACCGGGAATGTCTTCAGTTGGGCACGTGTAGTTTTGGTCGGCGGGGTCGGGCATCGTACGCATTGCGCACAGAAACCAAGGTGCAGCGTCTCTGTAACATCGCCAACATATCCGGTACGCGGTGGCAGGCTTGCCGAGCACGAAATGAAGGGGGGGTCGCATCTCACCATCAACTAAGCATGCATGTGCTCGGTTGAATGCTCGGTAGCGTGCGAGTTTACCCCTATCAGGATGTTTGTTTGCATATCCCTCCAAGCGAGAGGGCTTGGACCTATGCTGATGTTCGTTCCAAAAAGTAAGCTGAGCACTGATGCTACGGTGAAAGGTATGCACGTAAATTCGCCCGTGCGCCAAACGCCCTGTAACCAGCTTAGACTAATCTCACATTCCATTATGCCACTGCACTTTCCTCTCCAGCCTGGCCCCATTCTGTTGCTCGCAAACGTACTTGGGCACCTTACAATCCAACACCATACGGGCTTTAGAAACGCGGGCAGCTGCTTCACAAGGACCCCCCTATTTGTGATGTTCCATTGTGTGGGGTTCCATCCCTTGCTGTTGCACAATCTCACTCCTGACACGATCTACCTGCGACCGAATGGCGGTCAGGTCCTTTGCCGCTCAGACCATACACATCGACCAGCCAGAATACCACCAGCGCTGCTAAGCCGACAACGAAACTAACAATTGCCGCGAAACTGCGACCCGTATGGGATCCCAGAGTTGAGTTGATGCCGCTTTGTGTAGCTAGGAATGCCCCTGCGACCGCGGTGCATATGCATCCGGCGATGTATGCAGAGCTGGCCTCTAGGCCACGCCGTGACATTTCTCACCAGGTGGAGCAGTGAGCATACTAGGATGCATAATAGACGATGCACTGAAGTGCAGCGCAGACGGCGTTACGTTCTTGTACGGCATTAGTTCCCAGTAATGTAACAAGACCAAGGTCATGAGATATGTGACGCTTGCTATTTTGACGTGGCTTGGGAAAGGCTTGGCATTATTGCTACTTTAAAGTCGCACGCTTCAGAGCTTCGAGCTTACCCATCTGAGATATGGCCTCGCGTAACCACGAATGATCTTGTGATGCATGCTGAAATTTCCATGTTTTGTCTTTTTCTATACAGCAAAGCCATGCCAACGCTAAGGAGGGCTGTCGTTGGTAGAGCAGCGCTTGCAGCGCTCGCCGCCCTGCTGATGTCAATGGCGGGCCTGGCGCAGTCTCAGATCAACCCAGGCATGCCTTTGTACCAGCTTCATGGATCAGGCACATCTAATCCCGCGTTACTTATCTGGCGTGTAAGTCGCACCAGGGGGAATCAACACTTGTAGGCTTCGGGTTTCACGCCTGGTTGTCCATCTGATCCATGCGTGCGAACAAACCTTGCTGCAGATCAGGTTGCCTAGGTTGCGAGGTGCATGCGATGGAATAGCTTTCTTGTATCCACAGCAACAGAGCTGGAGCTGGACAGCGTTTTCAGTATCCACGCCGCATGCAAATGAACTGCCCCCGAGCATTTAAGCGATATCTTTACTGTACCATAACCGTGTTTGAGGCAACGCCATACGTCCAACTGTTAAAGTCATGTTTCATTCTTTCTATTACTAGGTTCTAACTACCTCCCAACTACCCCCGAACAACTACCTACCAACAACGATTCACAACTCCCTTGCACCTTTCATAATTTGAACCCTGCCTCTCTCCCGCACCTTTTCCGCTCTCTTTACTCGCAGGTCATGGACACCATGATGGCCCCTACAAAACCCAAAATCGCCATGTCGTACCGTTCAATGGGTTCCGGAGCCGGCGGTGACGAATTCACAGCCCTCAACTCTTCCGCCTTCAGCTGCGGAGATGTTCCCATCAGCCCAACTAACTTTAACCGAGCTCTGCAGCAAAACAACCCCATGATGCACGTGCCGTTCCTTGTTGGCTCTGTCTCCATATTCCACAATATCCCCGGCATAGGAGAGGTACGGCAATACGGCGGCTGTGCGCTGTACGGCGTACGACGTACAGCACCTTTGAGAGGATATGCTGTCAGGGAAATGGGGCGGTGCTGTAATAAGGAGCGGGCCAACAGGATTTCAGGGGCAACACGGTTTTGAGGAAGAAGATTAGTAGTCCTGCCTAGTGACTTATTCCTTGCGTATGGAAGCACCCACAGCCCATATAGGTCGCGGCTCAGTTACTTGAGATTTTACTTCACCACCTCGCGCCGTTATCACACGCAGTTTAAGTATAAGTTAAGTGCTCAATTAATAATTCCCTTTCTTTTGTTCTTCATAAACCCTAAAACCCTCCCCCTTCTCCTTCTTTCTTTTTGTCTGTATGTATGTCTCTCTCTGCGATGAAGCTTCGACGCCCTAATTTTTAATTGGTTCTTTTACTTTTCTACACAAAAGACACGTTTGCGACACATGTATATATGTATGCATGTTTGTTTGTCTGTTTGTGTGTGTGTGTGTGTCGGCTGTGTGTAGGGCTTGTATCTGCCGCCGTGCACGCTCGCGAAAATGTTTCGAGGCGAGATTTCCCAGTGGAACCATCCAGAGATCGTAACCAACAACACCCACCTGCCGGATCTGGCCAAGATAACCGCCAGCATCGGAATCGTACACCGAAACAACGGTTCCAGCAGCACGTACGCGCTTACTCACTACCTCAACAAGTAAGATGAGTGGTACGACATGGTTTCCGAACAGGAGTTCCAATTTGAATTCATGAAGGAATTCGGAAGCGAGCGGATTCCACTGGAGAGACTTCAAATTTCAATCCATTTTTTTAAAACAAGGTATTTTAGATGTTTAGGTTTTACTAAGTTAGATTGCGGTACTCAAAATGATGGGTTTTAGGCTTGCAAAACATCTACAAACTATAGCAAGAAAAACGTAACCGCCATTCCTGCAGTATTGATTTTGTATTGTCCATTTGTTTCTCCGAGGGAGCAATAATCTTGGCATGGGAAAGACCGGACGGACATAAAACTCATCCCACCCTACCCTACCCTACCCCACCCTGCCGTACCCTGCCGTACCCTACCCTGCCGTACCCTACCCTGCCCTACCCTACCCTGCCCTGCCGTACCCCACCCTACCCTACCCTGCCCTAGGGCCTGCCCCGGGGAATGGAGCGGCAAGGGCCAGGGTGTCGGTGTGACCATTTCCTGGACCTCCATCCCGGCAGCCCGCAGGACGATGGTGACCAACTCCCAAACCATGGTGGAGCAGATCGCGACCAACCCGTACTCGCTGGGCTATGTGGAGAGCGGACAGGGACTGCTGGCAGGTAGTGGGGTCGGGGGCAAGGGGGGGCCAGCAAGGGGGGGCGCCCAGCAGGGGTATGGACGCTTTTGGAGGAGTGATAAATATGCTCTTCTGGCCTCTCTACCTAACACCTAATCCAAGGCAGCGACACCATCCTCTGTTCGAATCCGCTTGTATCACTCTTCCCGGGCGTACCTATCTTCAATTCTCCCGCCCTGCCTCATTCACTCCGCCCCGCCGGGACACTCTCCGGAATCCTGCTTGTTTGTATGCATGCATGTATGTGTATGTATGCATGCATGTATGTGTATGTATGCATGCATGTATGCATGTATGTATTTCCCGTTCTCCTCTCTATCTATCTATGATTGCGCCCCGGGTTCCCAGACCCCCACAAATCATACACACACGCCATACCCCACAGCCGTCAAACACACATACATACATACACATATATATAGGGTTGGCCGGAAGTTTAGGTTTAGAAAATAATTTAGATGCCATCTAATTAGATTTCTATATAGATTTTAGATGAGGCCATCTAAACCGTTTAGGTGGGCATCTAAACGTATCTAGTCCATCTAATGCCTATCTAAAGGCCGGTGACCGGATCCAGACCGTTTAAACATGAGTCATGGCACGCGAAACAGCTATGTTGAAGGTAACTTTAGTGTCATATCCTTGCTCCGCTCTATTACATACACAAATAGACGTAAAAATACACAATGGCAGAACCAGGACCCCAAAAGCCGATCACATACAAATACAACCACCAGACTTTCGACGCGCCACAGTACGCAGCTAAGCTCTGCGAAGCCAAGCGCAGCATCAAAGCCGCAGCGTACTGGTCCATCTTCGACGTGTTGCTCGTAAAAGGCGTTGTGAACCTCGTCTGCACCGTTTGCAACAAGTCCTATAGCGCGAAGAACCGTCAGCTGTCTGCCCGGATCACTATGTGAAGCACCAGAAGGACGTCGCCAGCACGGTCGGAAGTGAGCAGTCCGGGGCGCCCACAACCAACAGCACGAAGCGCTCGCGCGCGGAGGAGGGGCCAGTTCGGACCTTCTTCCTCGCTGCAGTGCAAATCGCCACCTTCCTGAAGCACCTGGCTCTTTTCTTCTTTAAGTGCAACATCGCCCTCCACCTGATCGAGCACCCCGACCTCGTGAAGGCGTGCAAGGCTGTTGGCATCACCCCCCCCAGCCGCAAGAAGCTTGCCTATACCGTGCTTGACGAGGCGTACAGTGAGGTGTCGAAAGACGGGCTGTTGTCGTCTAATGCCGTGATGTTTCTGTCGTTTGCGTGGTGCGGCCGGTGGGCAAGGACAACTGACTGCGTGACGGGTGTGTGGAGGTGAAACCCCGTTGTCGCCAGTCGGACAGGCCAGCAGAACAGAGCCCGACAGCTTTGCATCCCAATGCGGGCGTGTCCCGCATGTTGGCATGTGTACTTTGGTGGTTCCGTTTGCGGTTGGGCCGACGGTTGGGCCGCGGGGCGCCTAATTACACCCCGTGGCGCCATCCGACACGCGTCTGTAGAGCGCCCATAGGGGTTCGCCGTGTTCCCAGTGTCGAGCGGCCCAAAAAAATATTGGAAAATCCAGGAAAAGATAAAGCCGCATCGTGTTCAGGTCAAAATTCTACCGTTTAGGCAGTTTTCCGTTTGGCCATCTAAAGATTTACCTAATTAGATTAGGTATCTAATTAGACTTCTAATTAGATACTTTTTCCATCTAAAGATTTTGCCAACCCTACATATATACTAGGTTCGCCGGGTAGCTGCCACGGGTGAAATATACCGCCCTGTTTCACACATACATACATACAAACACACACCCGACCTATGTTTGTCATAGGGCTGGATGAAGTTCAGATCTTGAATGCCAACAACCTCAAGCTCACCTCCAGCGACGCCACCATCGCGCCCGAGTCCTTCATCGCCTCCCAGTTCCCCCTCGGCCCCTCAACACCGCCGACTGGACGGCTGTCAACCCCGTGTATGGCCCCAGCGACGCCAAGAACCAGTGGCCGCTCACCCTGGGCACCTACTTTTATGTACGAACAAATCTAGCGTATTTAAATGAGACAGGTGGGTACGGGTGGGGTAAAAGGGGCGGCTTGGCGGTCTTTCGTTGGTGGGTGGGGTCGCGGCAGGACAGGGAGATTGAGGGGCAGTTTTGGCGTGGGGATATTGAGGGGTTGGGGGGGTGTTGATGGCTGTGGATGGGTGGGTGGAGGGGGCCGGGGGTTGTGTGTTTGGCGGCTTGGGGGTTTACAAGCGGATTATGGTGGAAGGTTGGGTGTGGATGAGGCTATGTGAGTCTCGATTAGGCCCCAGGAGGCGGCGTATGTGTGTATGTCGTTGCCTTTTGCGTCGTACTACTATTCGCCACTGAAACATTCCCCCCGCCCATCGTTACCCCCCTTGTCCCCTCCAGGCGGTCTCCTGAAGCTCTTTCTGTCGTACATGCTGTCTGATGACGTGGCGGCAATCATGCCGGAATACAGCTTTACAGCACTGCCGAAGAAGGTGCGTGTATGTATGAAGATATGGAAGCGGGGCCGCGCAGGAAGGCTGTGGGCGGGTGAAAGGGGGAGACCCCGTGTATGCGTGTGTGTTTCCCTCCTCTCCCCTCCTCCCCCCTTTTTAACTTTCCCTTTTAAGAAATACAACTTAAAAACAAAATGCCCTTCAGATATTAATTTTCCATATTAAAAAGGAAAGTGCTAATACGCCCCCAATCCATTTTTTTCATCATTCATAAAAATGCACATGCTTTACTCTTAATATTCTCAAATTCAAACCGCAACTTAAAATTCTCAAACCGCAGATCCGTCGAGATTTGACTTCGCTGTTGAGCAGCACCATCGTAGATATGTCGCCGCCCGTGTGGCGCTCAGAGAACGGCACAGAAATCCTCGACTGACAGCGCGACTTCATGTTCAGCTCCAAGCGGGACTCGTACATCATGAACACCTGTGGAAACGAGGCGGGGCGGGTCAGTTAGGAGCAAGAATTGCAGGGTGACGAGGGGCCCCAACAGCCTATCCAAGATGCTGTAGTACGTCATGACGGCTGCCGTCCGGGTATGGCAAAACGAGTGGGGGGTGGAAACGAGGCGGGGCGGGTCAGTTAGGAGCGAGGATTCCAGGGTGACGAGGGGCCCCAACAGCCTATCCAAGATGCTGTTGTTCGTCATGATCCATTAACCCAAGGTCATTCCTACTACAAGTAGGTCGGTGTTTCTCCTCCTGCCTGCTCACCAGCTTCCCTACCGTGATTCCGATTGACACAGCATGTCTTTGCTTTGCCACTGGGCGCTTCCATGTTGAATCTGCCACTGTCCCCAAAAGCAACACCCCCGCCAATCAAGCGGGCTGCCCTACAGTGAGCAGAGCGCCTATACCTTTAGGACCGCATCCCCAAGGGCTCCTTCTCGTTTGTCAACCGTAGCAAGTCGCTGGTATAACAGATTATTGATTATTGGAATTTACGAAATGCGCGCTGGGGAAGAAGGGTTGGCTGGTCCGCTCCAGGGAGGCTTCATGTCTCAGCGGGATGGCCCGGCAGGTTTGTTTTACAATAACTTCATTGATCCTTGCGTAAACTTCAGTCATCACCTATTGTGGGAACTGTCCAGATTTTACAAGGTTATTCTGTGAAATGATTCCTCGTCCGGTGTGGTTCACGGCATCACGACGGCTTCTTGGAGCGTGCTGCAGTGGCACAGCATATGGCTCACAAGCCCGCTGCACTTCCCGGTTTCCTCTTCGATGCCGGAGAATCTGCCGAGCTCATGACCTTCACGTATGCACATCATCTCGATCGTCTGAATCACCTGAGTCCGCTGGAGGGAAACAGATCCGACGTGTTGGATTCTCAAGCTTGAAAACCTGGACGGACTTCTGTGAGAAGATGGGCGTTTCCAAAGATTTCCCCTATGGTTTAAAAGCAATGACCAGCAAATTTCCTCCCCCAACTTCACAAGAGCTTGACGTCGCTGTTTTAACGTCCCAATGGCATACTCCAGGCCGGTTCCGGCCCGGTTCCGACCTAACGGGTCCAGTTAACGAGATGGGTAACCGGTCTGTAGGATTACCGGGCGAACCGTTATCCGTTAACCGTCCCCAGTAATTGGTAACCGATGTCGGTAACCTGGCATGAGCAAAAATGCATTTCTGATTGCAACCAGTTTCTTTGTGACAATGCCCATTGTCACAAGGTTCATGCCCACGTGTCACACCCCGACAAGCTTGAGGAGGTTAAGGCAATGTGAATGCCGGGTGACAGGGGTGACAGTCTTGTGCAGGCACATTTGGAGACTAGTTTACACTGAGATTGGGGTGATGTTGGATTAGAATACTTGCAGTTCATGAAATTGAGGAAATGTGTTGCATAGGCATATCCAAACGTTTCAGAGGGACGTTGTTTTGTAACAAGTTTGTTACGGGCGAAACAAACTGGATTTCCACAGTCCCACCACTCAAAGAGCTCCCCACACCATCGCAAAGTCCCTTTTTTATTACAGACACATGTAACAAGTTGTCATAACTTGAGATTGTCGATATATGACTGCTGGATTGTGACCAGGCCATCTCCTTACATGTCTTGCTGCACCAGCATGAGCAGTGATCCCTTCTGTTCAAAATTTTCAGGCAACATCGCAATGAGGCAAAACATTGTGCCGAATCTGCCGTACAAAGAGTGTTCGCTACTAACGGACGAATACATAAGCATTCATTTACCTTGAAAGAATAAAGGAATTCTATAGCTTCATACAAATTCGCCTATCAGCAACTCTCCCTGGTCGTTCAAAAGTTGGTGCTGTTCACGGATGACCGGCCCTATTTGCCTACTACTAGGAGGAGGCGATTTCCATGATGGCGTAGTATTTTGAAAATCTGTTTGCATGATTTTGAAGGGTTTATAATTCTATAATATTGCAGTGCATTCGGTCCTGCAGGCGGGCCGTATTCTTGCAGTTCTGTGACGCGGCCTGTGGTCAAACATGAAGCACCCGAGCATGCCGCATGTAGCAAAACTGCATTGGATTTGAGGTCTACATAATCCTGGGTAATATTAAAATTATTTTGGTGCAACGGCCAACGTCTTTTTATGAGATGCGTTCGGACCGCGGGAAGTTGCGAGGCCCGCAGCTGAACTTTGTGGGTCGCGAGCATGAAAACAAGATATTGTTGTTACAAAGGCACTGCAATTTTGCTCTGTGACCCGACCAACGGTATTCGCACGTGCGTGTGCGTGTGCGTGTGCGTGTGCAGCCGCGTGCCAGAGGGCCCCTCACGTTCGTCCTGCTCCTTACACCCATGACACCTCCCACACAACGTATTGGGGGACGTGGTCACGATCATCACCATACATCCGATACGTCAAAAATCTTACTGCTGGTAGCAAATGCTCAGCGGAAACCCAGCACCGTACATCTGCGGTGACACAGCACCCCAACTCAGATCGAAGCAAGGAAGAACATTGTATTGTGTAACACAGCAAAGCCAAACGCTTTGGACGGCATATTTGTACGGAGATGTTCTCTGGTCCGTTGCATCTACTGTGCAGGAGAGCGCCTGCGAAACATGCCGCGCATGCGGAGCACACAAGGCAACAACAAAACGGAAAGGGCAAAAGGCTTGAACCTAAATGCTAATTCGTGGAGCAACACGCAAACAGATAACTAGCACTGTCCTGTCCCACATGGTATGCGCCGCGTATCAACGAGCACTACAACATGGCATGCCTGTGCACCGGGGCTGACCAGTATTCCCATCTGGAATTGGACACACACGTTGTCTCACGCTTCAAACCTCACCCAACCCCTGGAAAACGTCTCCACAGCTACATATGCCACGCCACTTCCCAGCAACATCCCACTCCTGAACATTGCTAGCTGTCAGTACTTCCAGGCCCCCTGCATCCCTTCCCCAGCCGCCTCAGCATGATCACCATCCACCCACGCACCCTCTGCCTCCCTATCCACCTCCTCGTCCCCTTTCCTCATCCTCACCCTTCTACACCTTCCTGGTCCCCTTCCTCATCCTCGTCCCCCTCCCTAACCCTCGTCCCCTTCCTCACCCTCGTCCCCTTCCTCACCCTCGTCCCCTTCCTCATCCTCATCCCCTTCCTCACCCTCGTCCCCTTCCTCATCCTCATCCTTCTACACCTCCTCGTCCCCTTCCTCATCCTCATCCCCTTCCTCATCCTCGTCCCCTTCCTCACCCTCGTCCCCTTCCTCATCCTCGTCCCCTTCCTCATCCTCGTCCCCTTCCTCATCCTCATCCCCTTCCTCATCCTCATCCCCTTCCTCATCCTCGCCCTTCTACACCTCCTCGTCCCCTTCCTCATCCTCGTCCCCTTCCTCATCCTCGTCCCCTTCCTCATCCTTGTCCCCTTCCTCATCCTCGTCCCCTTCCTCATCCTCGCCAGTCTCCACCTCCTGCCCACCATTGCCATGAGGCCCAACAAGCTGCATTGCTAACTTGGGCGCACCAGATCCACGGACTTGCGCTCCCAGTTGCCGTGCATCAGGCATCTCCGCCAGGCAGTCGTCCAGGCATGTTTCTGGGACGACTTGAGTCCCAGGACCCCTGGCAAAAGGCTGTGATGGCAGGTCCTCGTGGACACCACCCTCGGAGCCGGATTGGCTGCATAACGGAGGTGGAAGCTGTGACGGCAGCACACTAACATGGTTTTTTTGAGTGGCTGCTGCTTCAGCAAGAGTTGCAAGCCCCTGCTCGTCTGGAGAGTCTGCTGCACCAGTGCCACAACGTAGCCCACGATAATACACGCGCGCCTCCTCTGCAGCTTTCTCAGCGTTTCTAACCTCCCTCTCATCTGACCCTGGTTCCTCACCAGACACGCTTTGCATGGTAACCGCCTTGAGCCCCTGTCCAGAGCGAGGCCCACCTGGTGCGCTGGTGTCCTTCGGCGTCGTTAGGGGCCTTGGCATTTGTGGCCCTGTGACGTTGACTGGAAACCCACAGCACTTGGCAACCTGCAAAACACCGTCGAGCCGGCTACCAAGCTTCTTGATGACCTGGGGTTCCTCCAGATCCCTGTCGTTGCCGAGCTCTGGTGGTCTTCCAGGGTCGTTCACACGCTTGGGAAGGCTTGCCTGCCGCTGCTTGGGAAACTGCAGAAGTTCCTTCATCGTGTCGTTCATAAAGCGGTTTGGCATGGCATCTGCCGCCAAGACCAAGATGTCGTTCACAACGACGTCGGTCTCCATCTGCTTATAGTAGCTATAAGCTGACTTCGCTTCCTCGTGCTCCGCAGATTCCAAGCATGCCGCCTCCTGTTTGGCGATTGCAGCATAGAGCTCCTTCGCCTCCCGCGCAAGCCTCTCGGACGCATCAAGCAGTGGCTTCACCACCTTCTCATTGGTGGCCCTCAGTCTTCCAGCGGTTTCACGATGCCCGGCAATGGTGGCCTTGCTCGCCTTGTATGTTGCCTCGGCGTCGGCCATCCTGCACACACGGGGTGTGAAATGCTGAAGAAAAGCATGGCTCAATACATATGGCATTGCGAATGAAGGTGTAAAGTTAAGCTCCTAGCCTTCTCCTAGTAGGGTACCCCAAGTAGGATACTGTACGACATAGGTCACCGGCACCACACATGCATCCGGGTTGTCGCTGTGCTTGCAAGGGAAAGACTTCACGTTCTTGTCATATGCTTACTTTACATGGTCGGTGGTGCTCAAGGTGTCCCTAATCTTGGACAGCGTGCATACAAAGGCCGAGTACAGGCCATCCTCCTGAGTCGCGTCCAATGACACCATCATGTTGTATACCGCTCCAAGGTGCATAAGGTGGTGGTTGAGCTCTGTGGGTATGTTTGATGGGTCGAACAGGCCATCTTTCGCAGCCCTCGTGAGCATGCTGAGGTAGTGCTCCGTGGTTGCGTGCGGTGCTGAACCTCGTACACCTGTCCAGTAACGGGAGAAACATGTCAATGTTTGACAAAGGCATTTCAAGTAAGGCCCTGTCAGGAAGGTTAGGGGTTGGTGAGAGGAGAAGATTGAACATGCACAGCAGCTTTCGGATTACAGCAAAGGCAGCTGCCTGGAAAACTGCTGTTTCCAATCCATCGTGGGCAACTATTTTCAGCGTGAAACTAACCTTCTAACAAGTCCTCCAAAGGCGAACATGCAACTTGGGTGTCAGAATCTCGGGGCAGGGCAGCAGATCCCGACGCCTCGCTGTGGTCAGGATGCTCATCGTGAAGGCGAGCGTGCCTCTCAACCCTGTGGCCGTCATCATCGCTCCTTTCCCGAACGGAAGGCATATCGGCTTCACGTCGTTCGTTACCACCGTGACCTCCGTTTCCGTCCACGCGCGCCACATCGTCATCATCTTCTCCTTCTTCTTCTTCCGCTTCTTGTTCTTCTTCAATGATGCACAGACGACGCTTAGGGTTTCCCTCCCCAGCTCTGGCCTGACGCCTCTTGCGAGCTGCTGTGGGGCCCATAATATCTGTTGTGTCTCCTGAGTGGGGGCTGGGTTGTGTGATAGGCGCCGCTGCCGTTGCCACTCCCGCTGCTGCTGCCGCTTCTGTCGCTGCTGCCGCTGCTGCCGCTGCTGCTGCTGCTGCTTGGCGAGCAGAACGCCGAAGAGCCTGTTCAGGCACTGCTGGCGACGCAGTCGCCGCCGCCATCGGAGGTTTGCTCGGGGCCCCAGCAATATGTGCCACTGCCGGTTGAATCGGCACAGGCCCAGGTGCTGCCGCCGCAGGGGAACTGATTTGCCGTGGAGGCACA